TCACCCAGGAGACCACTGTTCATTCCCCGTGTAAAACGAGAAGTCAGCGTTGATTTATTTGACATGTAACTTGCGTTCTTCAGTAATGCCACTTCACTAGCTATTTGAACCCAAACGACGATCTTTTCTTCAACCTATCTAAGTAGTTGTGTTGCTTAAACAACTAGGTAAAACCAAAATCTTTTCCTAAAGCTAACCAAGAAGTTTTGTCATCTCAAACTAGCTGAGTTGTTTCTTGTGAAGACAAAGTTTATTTTGAAACTACATGTAACAACGGAAATTGACATGTGTTCTCTTCTTAAGAAAACGCACAAAAATGTTGTACGATTTCGTAAGATATCATACGAGGATACATGTATGAGGATTCGTTGAAAACCACAGATTGAACAGCTGCAGTGTTTTCAACTAAAGCTTCACTCAGGACATTAGGACCAAAGTGTTTCTCATGCAATAGAGTCTGTTGATGCTGTACATGGTGTAAACAAAAGTTAAGCACCTATTGTCTCATAAAGAATAACTACAGTGCTGAACTTTATGTGAAGTACAACTTCAACAAAAGACAAAGATTCCTATGTGCACAGTTACACTCTGGAATAACTATTAGCCAGTAAGTTTAATTCCACTCCAGAGGACAGAATGTGTTCGCTGTGTGAGCTCGGCGAAAAGGAGAATGAGGTGCACTTATGTGTTTACTGTCCTTTCCAAGAGGACATAAGGGATGTACTCTTTAGCAAAATCACTTCCATTTATGTTTATTTCTTGTTTGCTGGATAGCTATGAAAAACTTGAGCTTGCGCTTCAGGAAAGGAACCTTTTTTTTGTAGCAGATGTTATTCGCCAGGTCTGGGAGAGAAGGCAGAATATTTAGTTTCAGACCGAGCGGTGAAGTAACCTGTGCTTTTGTAATTGAATGAAACTTAATGGAATGTGTCCACTGCAGCTGTAATTTTGCTGTCTTATAAACCCATAAGGGTTGGGCACGTTCATGACATGGAAATAAAGATATCAGTCAATCATCAATCAATCATAACCAAAGGTGACAGCTATTTATTTTTACTTTTCAGCCATACTTAATGATTGTTTTGCCTTTCTGATTGCAGAATTACCAATGTAATGCATTGCCAATCTAAAATCCATCCTTCTTCTTCCCTATTAACTGTCACTGAGCTCCACACCGAAACTCTAAACGCAGGTTAAAGTGACCCCGTGTTGATTGTAAGAGTGTGACAAACTGTTGCAATATTCATTAAACAGCAACAAACACTGGGTTACAGTGAGAGCTGTCTTCCCTATTATAGAGGCATCTCTTATTCAACAGTTTCTTCTGCGAAACCATCCAACGCCTACTTACGTTCCAGGACAGTGCTAATAGCTAATTACACACTCTGAGCTACTTTACAATGTGTGCAGTTTATGGCTCAAAAAAACAACTTGCTGCTGTCCACATACGCTATCAGTCATTTGGGTTTTTTGTTTTTCTACCCCCTGCAAGCATCCCACAAAGGCATCACTCATATGTAGTGAAATAGTGATACAACAAGAGAAATGTAAGACTCACCAGCCTCCTCGGCTCCTCCTATGTTGTTCCTTCACCATCCATACCGGTCGCTTCTATTATTTACCTCATTGCTCACTAAAATTGACTGATGCCGACTGTTAACGAGGCAAACCATTTGTAGTGATTTGCACAATGTGTCGGCAGCGTGTGTGTGAAGGTGAAACCCCACACCGATGCCTGGAGGGCTGAAGTATCGGAGAGAAGAATAACGGTTGAACCTTGGCATCGTATGGAGATAAGTGAGGGAACCACACATGGTTACATTTCTACAAGAGATTGCACCCGTTTTATCAACCTATGGCAGATAATGGCTGCAGATGAGATTAATGTGATGTTTTTAGTGGTTCAGGCATAAACACGACTTCGCCTTGCATCAGTCAGAACTGAGAGTCAGGTGGAAAATGTGAAAAAGTTGGCTTTATAAGGGGCAACGCATGCAGCTTTATTCATCAGAGAATCAACGATATGCATCAGATGGAGGGCAATGAAGGCATTTAAAAGCACATTCTCTCTTTCTCTGTGCACGTCTACACATCCTAGATACAACCTTCTAGTCATATATGATCCAGTTAGTAGCTCCACGCTAGGATAGGAGGTGCTGTGCCTCTATGTGTGTGTGTGTGTGTGTTAATAACAGACCCTGAGACAATGACAGACACCAAGCCCTAATTAGGTTGTCATGCTGAGTGTGCGAGGGGGAGACAGAAAGAGAGAGAGAGAGAGAAAGAGAGAGAGGGGTGGTGAGAGAGCCTATTAAGGAGGATTGGTGTCAAGCTCTGGCAGGAAAAAAGGGGGTGGGAGGAGAGGCAGAGGAGCGGGAGGACGAGGGGATGAGAGGGAGAACGATGAGGGGAGGTAAAGAGAATCGGGTGCAGACAGGGGAAAACAAGAGGAGTGAGAGAGGGAGAAAGAGAGAGAGAGTAAGGGAGGAAGATGGAACAGGAGCCAAAGAAGGAAAACAGGAGACAGAGGAGAGGTGAAGGAGATGGAGGCAGCTGGTGAGATGAAGGGACGGAGAAGGTATGCAGAGGAGGGAGAGGAACAGGATCTAGTAGTTCCTCGAGTACAACTTAAGTTAAAGCCCCCTGGAGTTTCAAAGTCAGATGATTGAAGGAGTGAAACCAAGAGAGAAAATCCCTTGAAATGTCGTCTTTGGTTAAATAGTAATTAAGGTTATCTGCATTTTGGGTTTTACTTTCATAGTTTCATTCATCTTTCCTCTCAGTTATGATGACATACTCACCAATGTAATTGCTTCAGTCAGATTATCTCAACCGCTTTATTTGGATGTAACTTGACCCTGAGAGCTGACCTGACGGGCTTTCGACCACATCTCATGGACTTCATCAGCAGTTGTCATGGAGATAGCTCAGTTGTCGTCAGATGCTCTACTATGCATTGTCTTATTTTTTCTCCCAAATACAATCATCTGTCATCATGTGACTGAAGTTCCGTACTTAGGTAAAATGATGATAGCTGAGCTATCGCCGTGACAACTGGCCAAACGCCATCCACTGATGCAGGCTGTGTGGATGAAACATGTATTAAGTGGACCTTGAGTCATTTTGATCAAATTATGTCATTTTTGATGAATCTTAATTAACATTTCTCGGGATGCAGAGGACATCAAAGTGCATTCATTATTATTGTACATTGCATGGTTGCACAACGAAATACAGTTTGTAGTCCCGTTTGGCTGCATCACACACAAACAAAGCTGAATGGTATGGTGGAGGGAGGAGGATGAATGTAGGTGTCCCACAGCCTGAGGGGGGACACTAGTTCAGGCCAGTGAGGTCCTAACCACCAGGAGCTCCAAAATACATTTACATTTAATATAGATTATTTCAAATGCTTGTCTTTGAGTCTGGCTTAAAATAAACTCTTAAAAAAAGCCAAATTGAAAAACAAAAGCTGAGTTTTCTTTTAAGGTTGTTCATTACATTGACACAACAAATATCATCATACAGGGTTACTGGACAATAAGCTGGGCTATGAACTTGTCCCTATATGGATATTTGCTGAAGGCAAAATATTTGCTTTTCAGAGGGCATATTTTAATTCAGTTCATTATGCACACACACACACACACACACACACACACACACACACACACACACACCATCCGCTTGCAGGTAAACAACACTGTAAGCCTTGTTCTGGGCTACAAAGCCAACTGGTGTGCGAGTTGATACCCCACCACCACCACCTCCACCGTAGTATCAAACAAACTGTCACACACACACACACACACACACACACGTATCCCTAAAGGGCCACATAGGACTCAGGCCAGTTTCTGCTGTTGTGCCAACAGCCATATTGTAAATATTCAATTTACTAAACTGGCAGCATTCCATAAAGCAGGACAAAAATATGCACATGCACACAAACACACACACCTGTAATACCTAGAGGCAGGAGAGATGTCTTGCTGTTCTTGAACAGACCTCAACAAATGCAATGAAGTCATGGCTAGGGATGCAATTTTTCATATTTTTCTCTGAACGATAGCCGACCCTCATGGACGGATCAGCTTGCCACCTGCTGATTAAAAAGAAGCGGGTCAGCGCTGAAGTTAGCAACAGCTCCGGCTTAGTCTCACCTTTAAGGTGGACTTACCTTTAAGGTGGACCTGCTGCTCTCCTTTCAGTGACTAGCAGCTCCTCTGCTCAACTTATTTTTACTTTCATATTGATATTTCTTATTACTGCTTAACTGATTGCATTAATTGGTAAAAATGTGCATTGTTGGTCAACGCTTAAATGGTTAATTATTACTTACTGATCTGTATATTAGGGAATCAAAAGACCGTCAATATGATAAGAAGGTTGATGATGAATATTATTATTTTTGAAATACGACTCATCTGTGTTTTGAAGTATTGAGGAGGCGAAGGGCCGTTTGTTTTCTCTCACATGGATACTGAGCATTTTCAAACAAAAAGCCACATTGCTTTTCTTCAAACATCCCATAAATAGGGCTGCTATTTGCCAACACAATGAAAGTGAAGCACCATGGGTGCAGACGCAACACTCGGAATCAGAAATCTTTCCGACAGCTGTTCCCGTGTGATGAAACCCACGTTGCCGAGACGACTCACAGAGCACCGCTCAGTGGCAGAGTCGGGCCAATATGATTTAGCTTCCTCGAAATCCTCGCTGTATATTATTTAGTCTTAAGCAGCAAATGTGCTGTGGCTGGAAGTAAAACCTCTAATTAAAGCCGGTGTTTTCGCTCAGTGCACTTTGACCTACGGCTCCCATGAGGGGAGAGAAGCGATGTTCACAAAGACTTATAATCAATGCATCCAGCTGGAGCAGATATAATCCTCAACTGTGCTTCCTTAGAGAATCTAGGCTGTAACAGAAAAACATTTTAATCACTTTAGGGTGGAGTCATGACAGCGTCAAGTTATTAGTCAAGATGTGTGTGAAGGTACCTGAGTACACAGGTGTAGAATCCATTGTCTTCCATTTCAGCAGATCTGAACCAGATGGAGTCGTCTTCTTTACTCAGCCTGTGACCCGAGAAGATTATCGGCTCCTACAGAGCACAGTACAAAGCACAATGTTAGCGCAATAACAAAACAATAACTGTCACAAGATATAAGCGTGTTAAGTACAGAGACATGAAGTCCGTCTCTGGTATTAACGTAGTTAATAGAAACACATGCCGTAGAGCAGAAGGGCATAGCATTGCACCCATAGGATTAGGAGATGCATATTACATGTATCATCAGGTCGAAATGTAATCCAGCTAAATCCTCTTTTACCATTCAGATATAAACCACAGTGCTGAGAGGAGGGGCACAGAGTTTTACTGTACCACATGGGAGCACAGTATGATTTATCAGGCCCTCTAGTTTCTGTGTATTGGCTATTACTCAAACACGAGCACACCCAAAGAAAGTAAAGAGAGATTCTTCACACTTTTTTGCTTAAAGGGTCCTTTTCCAGTGTGACCACTTTAAAACATATTTAGAATCGGAATGCAGACTGGATTTGGGAGAAGGCTAAGAAATAAATTATTAATTTAAAAAGAAATTTACATTTCCAGTAAATTCTATGGTACAGCATATCCTGCCCACTGGTTATAATAGTTGACCCTGACAAGAGTCCATAAAGAAGCCTACCAACCGTTCTTCCATTGGAAAACCCAGACTTCCTTTGTTATCAGCTGAAACCATGATATCAATCAAATCCAACCTCACAGCCTCAATCTTCATCTGCAAATGTAGGTAAAACATCGTACATTTTGCATTCTACTTCCAGCACCTTTTCCATAAAACAGTAATATTTCGGAAAAATAGTCTCCGGCCACCAGTGGTAGCACCAGACCACACTGCTGCTGAACAACACTTCAAACTGTGAGTGAAGAAGAATTCTTTGATTTTATATTCTGTGTCGTCTTTAATGGAGGAGACTTCTCTCAGACAGAATAAATCGTGTTTTATTTGTTATTTCAGCCTGACAAGTGCTTTTATTTTTTATTTTATCTGTCACTGCAAAGTCTCCCGATGATTGCGTACCATCCAGTGAGTTCATATTTGTAATATTATATGTTATAAATCCCTGACTTACTGAAATGTCCTGGTTTTGTTTCATGGCTATGCATGCTATAATAGTGTTTGTTCAAGGGTATTCACTTTCTTTACATTACTTTACATTTAATTACATACTGTAATTAGTATTCATTATTTATTCAATAGTTTGGACTTTTTTGCTTTTAATCCGAACTATTTAAATAAATAGAAACGAATACAAGCAGGACATATTTGAATCTTGATTCTTGTCACTTTAAGATAGCCAGGGTTGGACATCTGTACCCTCCAACCTCATGGGCTTTTATATCATGTGGTCTCACCTCAGCATCTCCTTTGTTCTTGTACCAGATGAGGCGCAGCTTGGCGCTGGTTGCCGTGGTGTAGTTGGTTCGGATGTAACTGTAGAACAAGGCACATTTCACCCGAACAGGTTCATCGGCCAGAACGTGGTACTCCTTCAGATCCACCGACCAGTCTATGCATCCGTCCACTGCGAGCAGAGAGGAACAGACCGACACATATTCAGAACTTGGTGACAGATATAAAGTATACAGACCATTGTACAGTGGACTGACTCCAGATCCAACTCCACTGCAGGGGGAAGAAACAATGATGGAAGCAGAGAACAGGGTGAGAAAGCAAAACATGAACGGTCATCAAAACAGTTTATAAACTACTCTTTATAGAGAAAACATGCTTTTCAGGGAGAAAGCGTGATGAGAGAGAAACACAAAGAGAGACAGGGATATTGTTTTATCTGCTTTATTTGCTAATTTTGTTCACCTTCAAGGCAAAGCAAATATTGAATTAAATTTGATAGAAATGTGTGTTTTATGTGAGCCTGTTAGAGGGGCAAACACGGTAACAGATTAAAAGAGATACATGTAGAAGATGTAACTGTACTGTATACGCCAAAGGCATAACTGGAGGGAGTGACAAAGAAGCAAGTGTAGTCGTTGTAATTGAACATCTTTATTGAAAAGGAATCAAAAGAGAGACAAATTATTTTTTGTCAACCCGTAACAAACAGAAAACAAGTTGGAGATGGAAGACAAGTAGGAGCTGGTGAGACGTAGAGGTCAATGACAAGGAGCTTTCCCAAATGGACTTCCCTCCTCCCCCTGTCCATCCTCTCCCTCTGTGCTCCTTCTCTTCTCCTTTTCTTCTTTTCTCTCTGTCCTTTGGTCCTCTGACTCTCTTTTGTTCCCCCTCTCGTGGTCTGAGGCTCAGATGGATGCATTCCGTTTTAAATGAAGCCTCCAGACACTTGCCTCAATGCCTTCCCTGTGAATTAGAGCCTGCCACGCTGCAGCAGCAAAGCCTCTGGTTCTTTCATCTACCCCAAAAAATACCTCCACAGCAGAGCAGCAGGACTTTTCATGATGCATGTGTACCAAAAATAACCATATAAGTGTAGATAGTTTGAAGTTCATCATTCATTCAGACAGTGGGTGCGGTTAGGATGAAGCTCAACACAGATGTCACACTGGTGTCATTTCTATACAGAGCGACTTGACCAGAAATTAAAAATGTCGAGTTAAAGTTTAGGAACCGTCATCTGGACCTTCCACCATTGCATGCAAGAACTTCTTTAAAAAACTAAAATCTACATGACCCAATTAGCTATTACTGCATGGTCCATTTTTTGTCAATAGCATTCTCTCTCTTTTATTTTTTAATAATGATAAACACTTAAGACCAAGTTTACAATCATCAGGGCTCCTCCCATTATAACCTGATGTGAATATAAAGAAAGATGATGATATGTTACATTACAGTCATTTAGCAGACGCTTTTATCCAAAGCGACTTACAATTCAGAGTCTATCACATTTCTACACATTAAGCACAGCTACGGGAGCAATTTTGGGGTTAAGTGTCTTGCTCAAGGACACATCGACATGCAACTAGCGGAGCCGGAGTTCGAACCGCTGATTCTCTGATTGAAAGACGGCCCTGCTATCCACTTAGCCACAATCGCCCACATATGTAGCCGAATGCAATGCTGACTAACAAATAGCGACCTTTGGCGCAGGACACCGCTGTTCGTCGGTGTGAAAACAACAGGTCAACGCTGGTTTATTTGTTGCAAAACTTGCTTATTCAGGTTACGGCACTTCCGTAGTTATATAAACCCAAAATGACAATCTTTAATTAATTGTAGTTTTGTAGACTAAACCTAACTGTGTTATCCTGTGGAGTCGGAAGTTTATTTTGAAAAGACAAAATAAACTTGTATGCATGTAGCGAGCGGGAAATGACACATTTTGCTGGATTTTGAAAGAAAACACACAAAAAAAAATGCGGAGTTACTTCTCGTAGGGAACACGCATTGTATGCCGACAGTAGCTCTGCGGTCCCCGCCTATTGTTTTCCACCCTTATGTGGTTACAGGCTACACCCCTCGTGGAGTTTCTGCCAAAGCCAGAAGTCGATTGTTACCGTGGCTCCCGCTTTGTGTCGACGCACACACGTTTGGGCACACAGTTAAAACGTGTCGAGTGTAATTTGTGTTGAGTTCAGTCACATCCGGAGATTTAAGGACTTCATTTGCATGAGTTTGCGGCACAGATTTACGGCCGCCTGCTTAATTGGTTACATTTATAGATTTAGCAATATGCATTAAGTCATACAGAGGCAGGGTGGATTTAATGTAGTATTAACGTACAAACACACACACGCGCGCACACACACACACACACACACCTAAGCAGATTTATTGCACACACAATCAATTTCTCACTCTCAAATGATTTAGCACTCATCCATGTCTATTTCTCTAACACAAAAACACACACGCACACACACACACTATATTTAACAGCAGTCATTTAATC